ATATATATATATATATATATATATATATATATTTATTTTTTTTTTTATTTTTTTTTTTATCTAAGTATGACTGTTAAATCATTCTAAGCAAGGGTCATGGCAGCTTTCAATATAAAATACATCTTTGTTCATTTAGCAGAAATCCAAATGTCTTTTTCTGAATGACCTCCTTAGTATTTATATCTATTAACATTCCCTACATAGCCAGCAGCCTGCAATGTCTGTTTGTTCCAGTTCATCTCAGTACCCATCGTAAATGCATAATGCACAAGATTACTCTGCTTCCATTAGCTTCAGGGTTGGGATGTCTGGATTTTATATGAACACTGTGTGAGTACGCTGTCACTCTGATCCCTTGATGAGTCCAAGCAGTAAATATGTTGTTTATTGCAATTCAGATAGTACACCTGCTTCAAAACTGTTCCACTTTATGCAATAGATGCCAGGGGAATGGTGTTTGATTTCAGCATAATATGAGTAAAAACAAAAAAAAGCTGGAATAAAGAACACTGGCCTTTATCCAAGTCTTTACTTATTAGGTGTTAAAAATGTTTATTTTTATTTATTTTTTGTAAAAAGCCATCACTTTTATTTTAAGACAATGAATGGTCATTCAGCCATCACACTGGTTTTGTGTTTGGGCTTTCAGTTGTTAAAAAGTTTTATACTGGCAAATCATTTTCAGAATACAAAGCATATGTCACGCCTGCTCTAAATTAATTAAAAGCAATAAAATACTGTACCTGTAAATAAAAATACAGGGACTTTTATTAAAAACTATTATTAGGTTTATTCTAAAAACAACAGTTATGTTATTGCATTTTCAAAGAAATCAAGTGTAATACTGAAAAGATGGAATAATATATAATTTTTAATGAAATAAAAGCTTGTACCACCAAGTTCAATTAATCAATGAAGCTAGTTGGATTTTTTTGACGTAACAAACACCATTCTATAGGATTTTTAAAATTGTGTTTGTGTGTGTAGGAGGACAGGATTGAGTGTTTGACTTGTTTTTTCTACATGTTGTGGAAAGTACAGAACTGGATCTATTATTCCGATAGAAGGTTTGTTTGAGGATAAGAAAAAATGCTGGAAACACCATAAAAAAAATTTAAAAAAAAATAATAATAATTTTTTGGCCACACACTCCCATATTTACTATTGACGTACACACATTTTACGCTGGTGTTTACAATATTTTGCCTGGGCAGGGCCTTTATGCTGTAACTTATACTGCTTCAATTGGGCATGTAAAATATTTTAAATCTAGTCTAGGTTGAGTTAATCTTCTGGACAGATTATTCTTTCTTGAAATGTTTCGTCTTTTATCCAAAAGACTTATTCAGTCTGAGGAGCTGCAATAAACTCAGTTCTATAAGAAGCACCTTCTCATAATAGATCAACCAGTTTGCTGGTGAAAGCCAAAACTAGCTGTTCACATCCAAAAGGAGGACCATCAGCCTAACAATTGATTATTAGTGCACTGATGGCCGCTTGCTATTCACAGGGGGATGAGTGATACTAGCAATAACAACATTGTAAGAGGGTGTCAATTGGACATGGATGCCTCCACCCCTGTTTAATGATGGGTGACTTCTCTTCACAAAGATGGCTTCCTTTTCTCCTTTCTCGAGCCAACATTCCGCTCTTTCAAGGTTGTGCACATCTTCACCCCTGTTAAACGTGACCGCTGGCCTGCAGATTAGTGTGAACCGCAGAGTCCTGGTTGCTCTTCTGTGCTGGGCCATCCTCTTGGTCAGTAGCTGTTTAATGTATCTGATGTATAACTGATCACTGCCCTACTGGCACTGAACTGAATTCTGTAAACTGCAGTGTCTTGCTTATTCTACCTGTTTTTGTTATTTGTGCAGATTACTTACCAGGTGTCAGGTCCATGTTATTCTTGTCATTGCAGCCTTGAAGAGAGTCCAGAGTTCGGGTGACTTGGCTGGAAAATTCTTCCCCACCATTCATGCACTCTCTCTGCAAATGGTGACGAAGATCCGTGATGTCATACTCATACCTGAGGATGAGGTCGAACTCAGTTAGAGTTGCATTATACTAAGTTAAAAACAGTATTATCTTAAGTTGTGATTTGATGGAGTATTAGAGATTTATAAGTCAAACAGAATGTACATTGTAGCTGTTTTAAGCCTGTGTTAGATAACAATGATCCTCTCCTACATAGTCTGTAGTGCATAGTCTTTACCCATCCAAAATCGGTGTCTCCCGGATGCTGAGGGTGCCACTGGAGTTCGGACCCTGACCCCTGGAGTTCCTTAAGCTTTCCCGAGCCTGCCCTCCCATCAGTACTGACGGGATGTAGTGGATCTCATTAGCTGCTTCAGCACTGGCGCTCTTCTGGGGCTGAGGGATGCGGCGGCGTTTACACCAGCGTCTGCGAGTGTACAAGATCAGGACAAGGCACAGGACGGACAGCAGAAGGGCAATCATACCGCCCTGAGGGGAGATGGGTAGCATTTGGAGCAGAGACAGAAAACAGAGAGGGAGAAGAAAGAAACAGGCAGAGAAAACAGAAAGCGTCAAAAGTGGGAACCGAGTCAGAAATACATGCCAAGTAGAATATAGGATCAAAGTCAAAGAAGGGATGCCAAAAGCACTGTTAGGAAAAGGTTACTGCTAGAAGTTGATGAATACTGTCTAAAGCATTTTAAATGCTTGTAGCTCTGATTGTAACCATTTCACCTTGGAATGAAATGAAGACAGTCCAGAACATGGTTCACAAACTAATTTTGGCTTAAAAATAAGGTCCATACTGAATGCTTTGTCTCTTATAAATAAGATGAACTTTAAACACTGAAATCACTGACAACAGTTCCCTTCCTTATGGTGTAGTTTAACATGTTGAAACATACTGCAATTAGATTTGTGTTTATATGATAAATAAAAATCAAGACACTTTATTTGATCAACTTGGTTTTACACATCAATATAGCAATAAAGATCAACTCTAAAAACTTGAAACCATGAATAAAATTCACACAAAAAGTGTAAAATGCTTCTTTAGACAATGTTCTGAAAGTGGTCCTATTTACTGAATAAGCTGTTTGGTAATACACTGACAAAACTAGATCTATCTCGAGTCCATCAAGCCTGTCATTATTTTGCCTTTGCATTTTAGAACAGTTACTGACTGACCTTGAAAGCGTGACACAATCTAGGATCGTTTTCCTTTATTTTTTTCATTAGCGTAGGTTTCAACAAATTATTAGATTAGTCCAAAAATGAGTTAGTATTGTACAGGTTTAGGACATTCCTGGCAATTTAACATTTCAATGAGATTAACACTGGTACAATATCCATTACAAACCTTAAATCTGACAGAATTGGAAATTACTTTTACTCACAGTTTATGGAAACACAAAAAGTCAACAATGAGTCTGAATATCCTGTCATACTATGCATTTGCTCTACAAGAGACTGATACCATATGACTGGGTTATGTCACATAAGCACTTCCATTCAGCCCTTTTCTTCTCTGATTTTAATGACTTCTGAGACACTCCATGGGGTAAAAGGATATGGCAACATCTACGCCCACAGCGGGTTGAGAGAGAGTACAAGATGGACAGAAGAAGGGCAGCAATCCTGCCCTAAGGAGAGGTTAGCAGAGAGGACAAAAACCGAATCAGACAGACACTTGAAAGGGAGGAAGCCAGTGACAGGGTGAGCGTCAAAGGTAGAGCAGAAAAGGCAGAAGACTCGGAGAATCCCTTCAAGACGTAGAATATGGATCAAAGTTAATGCAAGTCAAAAGCACACAACCTGTGCAAACACAAGAGAGTTCAAGAGCAATTCTCAGTTTGGTACCTTTGTGCATTAAGCCAAAAGACCATTCCTGTTATGTTTTGACCTATTCTATGTCACATGCCATTTTAAGGTAACTACAAAAATAAGTTTACAACCGAGACATAAAAGATGAGGCCATAGGTATGACTTAAGGGCATGCCATTCCATGTTCAGCATGTGTAATTTACCTTTTTTGCATCCCTAATTTGATTCAAGCAGCAGGGCAACCAAATGAATAAAAATGAGATAAATTTAGCAATTTGGAAAATGTCAAAGTGAGTTATGAAAATGTCAAGGTGATGGTACAGAGAGTCAGATGGCTGCAATTTGCCACCGGAGATGGATTTATTTAAAAATAGTGAATGACTGCCTTGGTCATAAAATGCTAAAATTAGAGCAAACAAACAATTTCCTTAAGGGAGACTTTAAACTAGTCCATGCAGTATTTTAAATTTTGTTATTTGATTTCTAGACAGGAATTATGATCAAAATGTTTCAAAAAGAATGTTAAAAGCCTTCGGCTGATTGTACCATAACTCCAGTAGAGGTAATGCTGACAGAAATATTTATCCAAACTTGATGTCTCCTAAAATGCTACCTGTAAAATTAAGATTAGTGTTTAAAACTTGTTCTCTTACAAATAAAACAACCATCCTCTATCTTATCCTACAGACCTGATCAGTCAATATTTATACCGATAAAAAAAAAAATAATCATTCACAAACTGTAGTCTTCAATTTCAACTTCAACTTCAAGCTCAAGTAGGTTTATTGTCATTTCATCACATGTGGTACATGAGGTGGAACAAAATTATGTACACGGGGTCCCCGTTACATCCAATGAAATCAAAAATATAAAGTGTAAACAAAACAGTATATAGGGATCTAAGATATACACTAAGATATACGCTAAACAAACGCCAAATGGTACGCTAAGCAGTAAGCTAAAAGAGCTAAGACATGTGCTAAACAATAATATTGCAAAACAATATGGTGTAATAACAGCAGCCGAACATGAGTCTGTGTGAGCAGATGGGCATGAATGAATACAGCAGCATGCAATAAACAGCGGCATGAGATCAGCACGGATAATCAGCAGCACATAGCACCAATTAAAGTGGCATAACAGTGTTTTTATTTTTATTTATTTTTTTCACATATAATTCTGGTTTGGGATTTATGAGTCTAACAGCTTCATGGTAGAAGGTGTTCCTCAGTCTAGAGGTTCTACACTTAATGCTCCACAACCTTCTGCCTGAGGAGAACGGGGCAAAAAGTGCATATGCTGGGTGAGTGGGATCCTTCATGATGCAGGTCTTGCCGGGTTTTCAGAAGAAAATAAATGCATATAAAAAAAGGCATGGTCTTCTTTTGAGTATGGGTATGGCCTACCATCAACCATTAAAATATCAGTAGTTTCTTGAGCAAAACAACTCTTTACGAATGGGTATGTTAGATTCTAATATACTTAAATGTATGTGCAGTTTTAGAATATATTGCAGTGCTAAAGTTGAACTAGACTGTATTTATTTGCACTTTACTAGGGTCTGAGTTGGGTTGTTTTGTAATCTGTGCCAGATAACCTGACTTAATTTAACAGATATCTGAGAGTCATGTTTTCTTTAGCTCAATGTGAACCAACCCCTCAAATCAGCTGAATAAATATGAGATTCTAAGTAGAACACAACAAAAAAAGAATAAGTGTTTAAGCATTTATAGACACTCAAATACACTAAAGACACTTATAAAGAATAAAATATCAATATAGATTTTTTTAATTAAACAATGTGTTGGGTAAGTCAAATCAATTCTGGAAAGATATGCAAATTGATTGAATAAAAAAGGGTTTAATCACTAATTTACATAAAACATTCTTTTTTCCCAAACATATTAGCAACTGAGGCTGAATATAAATGGGTTTTTGTGGCTTGTAATAATCCAAATTGGCAAAAGTAGAGGCCTATTTGCATGTGTTGTTTGCTTAATCTGCACAGTCAAGGACTTTAACAAATGACACTGTGATATGAGCCACTTATGCAGTTAATCAGAATGCACACTGGTCAGAAAGGAGACTTGAATCGTTTAGTCTGCAGTGATTAAATTTTAAGCATTCTGCAAGTCATCGATAATGATCCCATTTGACACTCACAGAAAAACAATTACAACTTTCTAAATAAAAGAGCTCCTCGTTGAACTGAAAATAAACCTTTTATCCTTCTAATCTGACTTTGTTTAGAGAGAATGTTGAGTTATGCAATTTCAATCTTTCCCACAGATCAATTCAATTAAGTTCAAGAGTAGCACACTTAAGGCTGCACTAATCAATGTTTACATTAACCAAAAGCATAATTAGAATGCTGAATTGAAGAATTTATTTTTAAAGGAAAACACACGGCAAACAAATAGTTTACTCTCCAGATAATACAATCTCATTATATTCCAATTGCTTGGCATTTTTTTAAGCTCATAATCAGAGTAAGCAACAATCAAATTAGGCTAGATGAATGTGCCAATCTTAGACACATTATTAGGGAAAATATACATGTTAATCAAACTGCAGGACTTTTCACTGCATCACACAAGGAACAAGCATTTTACAATTCATGGCTTAGGCTTGGTGTAGATGGCTGGGGTGGGGACACAAATGTGAGGGGGATGTTCAAATAAGTAGTACATGGATTTAATAAAAGCTTTTTGAGTTGACAACCATTTGTTGACAAAGATCTATTAATATAATATATATATAGCTACAATAATGTAAACACAATATTCATTGGACCATTGTCCTATTTGATTTAGGGTCAATGGTTACAATATTGCTGTGCATAAGACCCAAGCCAATTTTTGCAATAAGCCAGTGAACATAATAGAGTGATTAGCAGCAAAACATTTAGTTGTGATTGTCAAAAGGGTAATTGCTATAAGAAGAGTGACTAAGTACTGGGGCAGTGCTTAGTCAGATATTCTCAGTGCATTCCCTAATATGTTGTTTACCTTTTACCAACATGAAAAATTAACATAATGATGTGAGAACAAAGAGTTCAATGACTAAAGGCTGATGTGGATTCATTCAGTACCAGATATAGGGTATTAATTCAACCTTTATTTAGACAGGTAAATCCCATTGAGCCTCGTGGACTCATTTACAAGAGAGTGAGACCTGATTTCAACAAAGAAAGATGACAACAATGGACAACAGCGACAACAACAGACAGTTATAAAAAGGCATACGCTTTTATTATTTTTTTTACAAATTAAAATAAGATGGCCAAAAAAGTAACAAAAACATCTAGATTATAAGACAAATGTAGAGAATTAAAAACAGGAACATGTCAGCATTGGTCCCTGTCAGGAGTCCAACAGATTCTTAAAGCCACTTAGAGAGGTCAAGTTCGAGAGCTTCAGATCTTTTTGTAAAATATTCCAGGAAACAAGAGCGGAGTAGGAGAAGGCCCTTTTGCCTAGTTCAGTCCTCACTGAGGGAACACTGCAGGTAATAATGTCCTGAGAGCGCACGCTGTAGCTGCACTCACGCAGAGACATGTAGGAGGAGATGTATGAAGGCAGCAGACCAAGAAGTGATTTAAAGATGAAAATGTACCAGTGAGAGAGTCTGCGTGAAGTTAATGGTGTCCAGTTAACCAGTGAATA